AAAAAACTTTCACCAAATTCATATATATTTAATTTATCAAAATCATACATGGCACTAGTTGAGCGTCGAAATGATAGTACAGATCATATATCAATATTTGATTATTCATCAAATTGGTCTATGATTGGACATTTTCAACCAAATGAATTTGAAGATCTACAAGGTATTGAATGGTCACCAAATAGTGATATTTTATGTTTATGGGAAAATTGTTATGAATATAAAATTGGTTTTTACACACTTGATGGACAATTATTAAATATATATAAACCAGAAAATGATCGTTTTTCATTAGGTATACGTTGTGCACGTTGGTCGCCAACAGGACAAGTTCTTGTGGTTGGAGATTATGATGAACATTTAACAATATTTAGTTATTTAACATATAAAAAAATTCGTGAACCTTTCCAACATCCACAAAGATTATCATCAGGAAAAGGTTATACTATTCTCAAAGAAGAAGAATATAATGTTGATGATAATAAAGAAACAAATGAAAATGGGTAATTTTCCAGAGATATATATTCATCTAATAATTTTTTTTTATTTCATATTTTAGTCAACGTAAATTTTATTCATCTTCTAATTATACATCAGCTGCTGTATCAAAAAGTTCGATTGAATCAAAATATATAATATATAATGGTACACTTCAAATTGCTCCAATAAAACCTGATCTTGATCGTGCTCATCCTCGATTAGGTGTCTCATCAATTGAATTTTCTAATTCAGGTCAATATGTATCAACAATTATTGATACAATGCCAAATCTTTTATTTATATTTGATTTTAAACCAACATTTCATCTAGCTTTTGTACTTATTCATATTCAACCAATACGATGTATTAAATGGGAACCAAAACGTGATCATTTAGCTTTATGTACACATAATAATCGTTTATATATATGGTCATCTCAAGGTGCTTCTTGTATTAATTTACCTTATGAATCTTCGAAACATAATATAGATGAAATTAAATGGAATGATAATAATAATAATTCAATACCAAGTATTGCATTAATTGGACAGAATACTATGTGTGTAGGTTTTGTCGATCTTAATGATAATGACATATGAGATTTATTCAGATATATGATATATAGATATTTATTTTTTTAAATAGAAAATTATTATTTTTTTGTAGATATGACAGAAGAGAATAATTTAAAAGATGAAACTAATATAAGTGATGATGAATCAAGAAAAGATTCTTCGAATACAATAAATACAGGAGAAAATAGTAGTGATGAAAATCTTAATGAAGAAGAAGAACTTGATTTTTATGATTTTTTGGAAGCTGTTTCCGATAAAATTGATAATATTACAACTCAAAGTAAAAATAAAAACAATAATGAATCATTCATTTTTTTCTTCTTTTTAATGTTTGATAGTTGAAGATCGACGTGAAGATTCTCGGCAACGTTTACGAAGAACTATAGCTGACCTTGAAGCACAGAAACGTCTTCTTAAAACTCAATTACAACAACGTATTCAAGTATGGTCTGAAAATCTTAAAAAACCAAATTTTATTCGTACACGAGATAAAATATCATTTACAGTTGGAGTTGCAAATGCTTGTTTTTCACCATTGATTGGTAAAGAAAAATAAATTATTCTTTTATTTTTTAAATTATTATATGATTAATATAGCTGGACGTTGGCCTCATATTTTACCACTTGTTTATACATATCAAGCTTTATTTCTTATAACACTTCGATTTCTTATATATAAACGTAAAAGTTGGCATTATTTTGGTATGAGAAATATTTATTATTTTTATTTTGAGAAAAATGTTTTTTTCTTCTAGTATATGATTTATGTTATTTTGTTAATGTTTTAACATTACTTTATTTATGGGTATTTCCATCATCGAAAATTCTTTTTACTGTGTGTTATACATTAAGTCATGGCCCATTAGCTTTTGCAATAGTTCTTTGGAGAAATTCACTTGTTTTTCACAGTATGATTTCTTTTTTGCTTTGATAAATACATGTGATATCGATCGAGAGTTTTGTTTCTTTTTAAATAGGTCTTGACAAAGTTACCAGTTTGTTTATTCATATGTAAATTTAATGATTTAATTCTTATTAAAATTTTTTTCGATTTTATTTGAAGGTATCCACCATTAACATTATTTACTCTTCGATGGCTTTTGCCAATTGAACTTCAACGTGAACGTTATCCAGCTATTGTTCATATTGGTTCATCACTTCATACAAAAACCGCTATTTTTTATACAATCATTTTTTATTTAATTTGGCAATTGCTCTATTATGCATTCATTGTTTATGGACGTCGTGATAAAGTTGCACGAGGGTTAAGAGCAACATCGTATACATGGTTATTAGCTGACAAGAATGGTTTTGTTTCACGTCTTATACAAAAGTTTGGTTTTGGTGGACCCAATGATGGAATAAATCGATATAAAGTTGTATTTTATTTCTTTTTGCAATTTGGATATATGCTTCTATCAATTTTACCCGTTTGTTTATGGTATTATCGAAATATGTAAGTAGAAATAAATAATATATTTACTTTTATTGTGAATGGTTTTTTTAGGTATGTAAATGTGATTTTTCTTTGTTCAATCTTTGCTGTTAGTGTTTATAATGGCGCTTCTTTTTATATTGGTACGTTTATATATATACTTATAATTAATTTATTTCTTGTGTTATTTAGATGTTTTTTCACGTCGATATATAAAAAGTCTTGAATTATTACAAGATCACGATGAAGTGGAAGGAAATGATGGCGCCTCATCACGTCAGTCTGTTACATCACGTACTTTACGAAAATCATCTCAAATATTAATCAATAATTCGGAGAATATTCGTAATAGTGATAATAAAAAGTGTTCTTAAATATCAAACTATTTCATATTTTATATTGTCTATCTATCTTTAGATATTAATTACTAGTTAGATGCTTTTTTTGTTCTCTATGTTAAATATATAATAAACTACATTTTATTATACACCAAATTAAATGTATATTAATAGATGATCGAATCTCATTTAGAGATTCAAATTTGAATAGAAATGACCTTATATCCAGGTCAAACAATCCGGCACGGAACCGGCCGATTCCGTGTTACTCCGGAGATTTCACCGGAAATTTATAAAATCCTGCTTCAGGGACCATCGTCCTGGGTAGTGACTCTATTCGAAGATAAATAGAAGAAGGTCTTGCAAGACTAAATCACGAATCGATTCAATTACATTACGAGTTTCATTTTAACATACCACGTGCATGACACAATTAAATAAAATTATCGGAAAGATAAAACATTTAGTTTATCTTAATAGAGCAATACATATAAGATAATAGTATGATTTCATATCTAATAGTAAAATGGTTATACATATCTAAGTAAGTAGTTAGTCAGCTACACAAACTTGTGTGTACATAGTTACTTTCTTAAGTTTATATCGAAAAAAATAGATAAACATATATTCATTTATACTGTTAACGTCTATTCAAACACATACCGACAGCAAGCAACCAAACATGTTTTATATGTAATAAAGACGAAAGAACATTTCGTTGTGAAGGATGAATAACAAGCGGCATCGATATGGTTCATCGTTATTCACCGTAAACAACCTAAAACGGCGCCGTTTCCATTCCAGCAAAACTATATAATACAGTTTTGGGTTTACGGATTACGGTCTTAACGACTGGAAACGACATTCGCTAACGCCCGTTTCCTGCCTTACACGATTTCGGAAACGGTGTTCGGTGTGTACAGAACCGACTAGCCACACACACATGTTTTCATATACACACTTTCTTAAGTTTATATCTAAGGAAATAGATAAATATATATTCATTTCTATTATAAACTTTCATTAAAACAACATGGCAATGGAAATGGAAAGGTACAATACATGTTTTACATGCAATGCAGAAGAAGAAACATTTCGTCGTAAAGGATGAATAACAAGCGGCATCGATACGGTTCATCGTTATTCACCGTAAACGACCTGAACCGGCGCCGTTTCCATTCCCGTAAAACTACATATACAATTTTGGGTTTACGGATTACGGTCTTAACGACGGGAAACAACATTAGTTCACAGCCGTTTCATGCCTTGTACGGCGTGTAAGACGATGCTCGGAATCATCGACCTAGGTATATGGTGAAGGATATGGATCCGATCAATTCATGAAACCGTCTAGTATCCGTTTCGACGAAGAAAGAAGTCCTAATGTTTCGGATGGTTTAAAAAACCAAGTTGAAAAATTTCAAACAATTTTTTTATAAAATGTTTATATCTTTGATAAAAAAAATGTTTTTTGTTAAATAAAAAAAGAGAAATAAAAGAAAAATCTTTTTAGTTTTTTTTCATCAAAATCGAATTAAGTTTGATAACTTTGGTGAAGACATCGAAAAAAAATAAATGTCTAGCTCTCTCTCTCTCCCTAAGTTTATGTAAGACAACAATCTTATTTCCTTAGAAGCGATTAAATAACTTAGAGATTATACATGAAGTTTATTTCATTCTTTGTCTTAGAATCTTTTCAGTTTATCAATATTCTCAAGTTTTTCATTCGTAACAACTCATTATTTGATCTCATAGAACGATTTTAGTAGCTTGAGACCACTATCATCAGATATCCAAATAATAATTTCATCTATAAAAAGCTGATGTATCACTTTGTTAGTTTCAATATATCACAAGTACCACGCTCCGCAATCTCAAAAGTTTTGTTATAACTAGTACGAGTAGAGATCTTCGTTACACAGATCGTTTTAAATCTCTTGACAATAGTGCCATGGGTATGGGGTTATTCAGTATTCACAACCACCATACCTGCAAGAGTAATAAAAACACATGAATAGAGTTTTATTGATATTTTGAGACAAATGTAAAAAAATTGTCTGTTAAAAGCATCTTGAGGATGTGGACAATGAATGAGAAGAATACACACCCACACCAGCACCCACACCCTCAAGCGTTGGATTTGTCGCATTTTTATACTTGTAATCTTTTTTAGCTATATTTTATAGTGGAAAATAGTATACGTAACGCTCAAAATAGAGCGGAACTATGACTTCATGCTGATTGAACTTTTATGAAGTCCTGACAAGTCTCTCTAAGCATCATGGGAGTTTTAGTTGTCTTATACAGTCTTTTGAAAATCTCATGAAGTTTTACGACGATGCATTACATGATTTTAAACCTTTGCTGCCTTCTAAAAAATCTTGAAGTTTTTCTGTATGCTTTGAAAATCCCAAAAGTCTCTGTATCAAGAAGGATACTAGTTATCTTTATATATCTAAAGATACTATTATCGGATGTCCCTGCAAGAGTTCCACTTAAGTGCCACATTTGCCTCTTAGGGTGAGTGTGGGTGTGGATTACATTAAATGTGAAACAAAAACACACACCCACATTCATATTCTCAATAAACTATCTGATCGGTTTTAATATCGAACGCAAACACAATACCCAAATCCAAACGGTTAAGGTTCGACATATATTCACCTTCAAGTAAGCAAAAGCAGAAGAAAATCTCACGAGAATAAACATTCATAATAATACGCCACGAATTCAATGCACATCAGTATGTTTTTTTTAAATCAAACGAAAACTTACATATTATTTTCAGTTTTGATTTATCTGAATCAAATTGTTGAAATATATGTAATAAAAACAGTAATGCTCTGTAGCAATCTTTGTCTAAAATAAACTGATAATAACCGAAATATATTTTTATAAAACATCCAATGTATTGAAGTCTACTATACATGAGTATCAACACTGACTCATTCTGTTATCTTCAGGTGTATGTTGGAAACTATTATCAAATTTAAACAGAAAAAAGACACATTCTGTCTTGTTATCTTTAACCTTTACGTACGACACAAAATCATCAATGATTTCTTACGAAAAAACAACAATTATACATATCAGCGAGTTGCAACTTTTCGATATGATTAAGATTTTAGCTGTATTCGGCTAATAACTTTTTTTCTTGTTAACCAATTTAGAGAATTTTTCGCATGGTACTTCACTCTGAGTGTCCCACGCCCTCATCAAATTTCAGCTCTCTAGCTCATGTCGTTGCTGAATTATGAGTAGGTATGCATCAATACCAGTTCATAACTAAAGGCTGAGCACCCAATTATAGGTGGGTGTGGGTGTGGACTAAACAAGAAAATGACCCACACCCATCTATCGTCTATCTTATTTAATTTACATAGATAGGTTCATAATCATCACGTTTTTTTTGGAATCAAGCAAAATATATTGCTTTCTGTAGTCTCTTTTCTAAAGCACAGATTTTTCAATATTATTTATATTCACATACTTTTTGAGTACGTGACTTTAATATTCTTTGTTTTGAATATTACCATAATAAAAATATTTTTCGATATAATCTGTCGTTATTCTCTTCCCAGTCATTTAATCCACACATTTATGCTTAGCTGAGTATATTGAATGAATAATCACAGTCACAGTCACATACTGACAAATAAATAAAAGGTTAAACATTAAAAGCATAACATTCAAGACAACATAAAATATTATAATATTTAAAATTCGTCTTTTTCCATTCTTGATCTTTCACTTATTTG